AGCTCACAGGAGGCCGAGAACTACACCATCTACTCAGGTYGCTATCAGAGCCTAGCACTCACAAGGTGTCAAACACATCTCCTGTTGGGTAAATTAAAATGAGCTTCATTTTTGGATGAAGAAACTGAATCAGAAAGAGCTTATGACTTACCCAATCTAAAATAATAACTGCAGAGCACAGACATGAATCCATCTCTCTTACTCCAGAGCCCACATTATTCCTACTATACAGCACTCCCTTGCTCAGTTAAGGTGGGATGCATTTTATTAATCAGAATATCAAATGTTTTCTTCCTTCCTTCAGCATCATTATAATGCCTTCAGTGCTCACCTGTGCCAGCCACTGCRCTAGATGGACATACAAACTGGATGAGCCAGTGGGCCCCAAAGCTTTTATTTTGGATGCTCAGCCTCAGTGCTGTGGATAGTTAGAAGGGGTGATTCTTTGTTATGGGGTCTATCCTGTGCATCTCAGGGTGCTTAACAGCACCTCTGGCATCCGTCCACTAAAAGCCGGTTGAGCTCCCCAAGTTGGATCAACCAAATACGTCTCTAGGCATTGCCAAAGGTTCTCTGAGGGATAGAAGCCACCCCCARGAAAAAACCATTGATTTAGTGGAAGGGTCCCTTGTGAGTCAAAGGTTTGATGATGACTGCCAAGTGCCRTGGATGGGAAAGCGTAAAGTGTGCCAAGGCACGATGCATGAGATTTCACTCATCCTGCTCATTATCCTGAGCACCTAGACGTGCTGATAACTGAGCCTTGAGGCTGGTACTCAGGCCAGGTTTTAGATAAAAATAAGAGTCATTTAGATGAAAGAAAGGCTGAAGGTTCTCTCCAGCTGAGGTAACAGCATGTACCTAGTGCTGAATGCCAGGGAACTTTGTGGAGTTGAATGTGGCTGGAGTTTCCTGGGTGGTGAGACCTCARGCCAGGGCCCAAGACAAGGGCTGTGTCTGCCAGGACAGAGCCACCTAGATTTCACCCTCCGTCTCCAGTCCATCTACCTACAGCTTTTCTAGATCATATTTGGAAACTGTCTGTACCTAACAAAGACGGGACCCAGGCTTTCCAAGGAAATTTGATGTCAGCTCCAAGAAGGGCTTTGCTTGCAAGACCTGCAGTACCCTGGGAACAAGTCCTGGATTGTGCACTGGAAATCTGTACAGAGAAGGGCAGTATTGGGCCTCACGTTTCAGTGGTGAACTTTGCTTGCATCTGATTATCCTGTGGGGTCTTGGATTTCAGGCAACGCAATTAAGAAGTAAGCTGATCATACACTTTGCTGGAAGAAGAATTCTGTAAGCCTCTTAGGCACAAGGGCTGTTAGTAATTCAGAGCCAAGATTTCTGACTTTGGCCCTACACATCTGGATCTTAACACAGTCTGAGTATTGTCTGTGACCAACGCAGTATTAAGTGAACATGGCCAAAGCAATTCAGACTTTGAGTTTGGACTAAAGCATTTAACGACAAAGAATTAGGTCCCAGCACAGATAGAATCAAGAGGGCCTTCTCATTATCTTTCCAAAATTATGCTGAAATTTCAAATCAGGATAAAGCGGCTGCCATTCATTTTGTCTTGCTTAATTCATTTGGAATTAAGCTCCTCCCGTACTTAGTTCCTGCCAGTAGGGGTAAAAGTGCATTGTTGAGTGTTTTGAGATTAGCATTAAGAAGCCCTGGAAAATAATATATAAATCCCCAAAGCTCAGTTCATGAAAAAGAATAAAATAAAATTTAAAAAAACCCACACAAACCTTTTTTTGTGACCCAGGAAATTATATCCACTATTTTCACAAATGTGGTAAGCTTTCCACTGCTTCTGTGAGAAGAGGATTATTTACCAAGATAATGATGATAGCCAGCATTTATTGAAYGCTTCCTGCATCCCAGACAGTGGGCAAAGCACTTTACAAACATTACTGCATTTAACTCTTTGTCAGCCGTGTGAAGCACGGGCTCACTGTCTTTATTCTGCTCGTGAGGAAGCTGGAGACCAAAGAGCACAAGTTATGTGTCCTGGGTCACATGATTCACCAGGATGTCTCTACYCAAAGCCCATGATCTGAGGTGCCATGCTGAGCATCCAGATGTACTGGGCAGGGGAGTGTGCTAGGCCCAAAATAACTAGGCAGAGGCTCTGCCTAGCAGATGTGGAAATGGTTTCTCCACACATGTGTTAATATATGACAGAGAGAAATACAACATGACTTTGGAGCATATGAGGAGTATCTAATTTCCAAGGGGGGACACTTGTACATAGATTTGCAGACAGGAATGAGGTTGTCTGAGGAGGTGAGAAAGGGCACTGCAGGCAGGTGGACCTGTTTGTGTTGGAGGACCCTTTGGAAAGGACAAAGGGCTTGGTGCAGATAGAAAGATGGAGCCACTTGGAGGTTTGGCAGGACAGGTAGGCCGGGGCCAAGAAGGAAGATGGCCTGCCAAAGCCTCTTCTTCCTTGGTGGGCAGGTTTGCCTTCTCTATGTGTTCAGTTCACTTCCTGCCTCATCCACCATTGACATCTTCTCTGTCCTATCTGCTATTCACCAAATATTGGTCAGGAAGGCAGCTCCAAAAATCTTGACTTCAGCTCAGGGAAGATGGAGCTGGTTGAATACTGGAGTTTATCTAAATGTACCCTGGGCTGGTTCTTCGTGGAGTCCTTCAACCAAACTGCCGTGAACAGTGTGGGATGAGAGAGAATAACCCCAGAGGGAGCAAGAAATAAGGGGTGCCCATTGCTTATTCTCATAGTCTTCTGTTTATTCACTTATTTATGCAATATTTCTTAGTGACTTCTCTATACCAGGCTGCAGGCAGGAAGTKTCACAGATAACATCATGTGTAACAGTCCCCAAGCCTCTATGAAGCAGTTGTCAGGCCCCTGTACCAGATGAGGACCTGGTGCTCAGGGAGTGCAGGAGTTCTTGGCAGGGGTGGCATTCCCACCTGAGCCCTGCAACCGCAACCCCAGGACCTCCCTCCACACAACGCTAGGCTGCAAAGGCCGAAGCCCAGAGCTGTGGCAGTGAGACTGGCTTCTCAGGACACAGAGTGGTCCCAGGCCCACAGGGAACTGATGGGACCCCCATATGCATTCAGCCTCTCATGAGAGCCTATTTTGTGCTAAGCCCCATGTGGAGTGGTGGAGAGGAAGCCAATGACTGGAGCCTATTTATGTGGGAAAACATGCAATATGACTCTCCAGAAATCTTCACACAGAAATCACTATTTCTCATGCCAACTAGTKCAACAGCACAGAGGGTGGGAAATAGAGGGAAGAAATTCATATCTATTTATTTTGGGGGAGGGATGTATTGGGGATTGAACTAGGGGCACTCGACCACTGAGCCATATTCCCAGCCTTATTTTATATTTTATTTATAGACAGGGTCTCACTGAGATGCTTAGTACCTTGCTTTTGCTGAGGCTGGTTTTGAACTCATGATCCTCCTGCCTCAGCCTCCCAAGCTGCTGGGATTACAGTTGTGCACCACAAGAAATTCATATTTAAAGAGCACCTACCATGTATCAAGTTCTTTGTCAAATCTTTGACCAACATCCTCTCATTGCAACCCAGTGGAGCAGGGAATGCTTACCTTTGTTTTACAGATGGGGCTCCTGAGGGTCAGAAACAGCATGGCTTGGCCAATGTCAGCCAGATGGGAAGGATAGACCTGGCTTCAAGTGGAGGTGTTATTTTGTACCAGGAGCTGATATTTTGTACCAGAACAACTGTATATTTGTTATCAACTACTTTTTGTGCCAAGAACTTTTGTAGCAGTCTGGCAAAACCCATGGACTCTTTCTTAGAATACTTATTTGAATCCATAAATAAAATATAATATTCAGTTATAAAATAAACTGGTTGTTAAGTATTTAATAGAGTTAAATACTTAAAAGTTTGAGCTGTCAAATACATGCTTCATTGTGTTGAACCAAAGGACAAGACCTAGTGGCAGGTTGAATACTATGATAACCTTGAAGCTGCCATGAGCATAAACAATACCTTGAGCTAATAGGACATGCAATTATCTATAATTTCCTTTGTGGGCAGTTATAGGCATTGGGGATATTGGTGGAGTTTGTTACCTATATTTGTTAATTTAAAGAGATGCTAAATTTTAGTTAAAGGCTAGAAACTTAAAGGTGTCATTTTCCACCCAAGTTTCTGTACCCCCTAGATTCTGTCTGTGGATGGCAGGTTAAAGGTGCCACTTTATGGCTTTATGTTATTTAGTTTTGTTCAAGGGGCATTTGATAAGGATCTGCCTGTGTAAGTCATATTTTGCACCACAATGTGGTCAAAAGGAAAGACAGAAAGTTATTGATATAGAGGAGAGAGACATGAAGAAGGAATGAATCTTTGCAGCATGAACTATGACACAGGCACCTCCCAGTAGCCCCTCTCATCCACAGGGGATRCATCCAAGATCCCTATGGATCCTGAAACAAGGTGGTGCAGAGCCTGATATACACTGGGTGTTTTTTTGTTGTTGTTGTTGTTTTGTTTTTTTACATATATACCCACACCTAAGATGAAATTGAATTTACAAATTAGACACAGTAAGAAATGAACAGCAATAACAAATAATAAATATTTATAATAATAGGATAAAATAAAAGTTATGCAATGTGCATGCATTCTCTCAAAATATCTTAATCCTTCATTGCACTCCAGTTACATTTTCAGATAGTGGTAGACAGCAGATAGYTGAAACTACAGAAAGGGAAACCGTGGAGGGGGTCTCCGCCCTTACTGTATCTTATGTGCGCCCCACTTAAGCATAGGAGGAAGCTGGGTCCAGAGAGTTGAGGAGCTCGCCCAAGATGTGAGGCTGGGCACTGGTGCCCAGCGTGTGAGCCCCACCCTGTCCTACACTGGGCACCGCTCCCCATCAGCCTTGGAGGAGGACGTTGAGTCTTTATGGAGGTTTGGCAAGTTACAAGAGCCTGCACTTAAGGAGGAAAATTGTTCACTTTTGCTTMTTTTGTAGCCAAAAGCTGGGTCTCTTGGATCGGGTTCGCCTTTCTAATCCTCGTGGTAGCAATACTAAAGGAAAGCTATTTACCCCTCTGAATGTAGATGMCATAGAAGAAAGTCCTTCTAAAGAACCAAAGCCTGCTGGCTTAAACAATAAAGAGCGCTTCCGCACCGCCTTCCGCATGAAAGCCTACGCTTTCTGGCAGAGCTCCGAAGGTAATGGCCTCCTGTCCTCCCGTCCTCCACCTGTCTCCCCGACTTCTGCTCTCCTGAGCCCACCTCCTCCCTCCCCTCCCCTCTTCTCCTTTGAAGAACTCTTGAGTCCCCAAAGTGCCTCTCCCTTCCCTCCTTCTCCCTCATCTCATTCATGTCCCTCCAGGCATCAGGGCTCATAGGACTGGGAGGGGGAAGAGGGGTCAGAAAAGCCCTCTCAGGTTGAGGAGCCATAGGAACAATGGCCTCGTGTGCATCTTCCACTCATGAAGCGGGAGGGCCAGCAGGAAGGCAGTGACTCCCGTGTCTGAGGCCATGGGTCCTTGACTCTCACCATATTGCTGGGTACTCTCTGGGACCTGTGAAGTGTGAATGGCACAGATAGTGAYTTCCCAAGGTCACCAGGACAGACCGACAGAGAAAGAATCCCACTTCAGATCTGTCAGACTCTGGGGCCCACACAGGTGTCCACTGCTGTCTCATGGGACCTCTTGGGTCCTGTGGGACATACTTTGCCCACTTCACATGCCTTCCCCAGTCCTCGGGCCTCTAAACTCAAACTTCTGGACAAAAAAGGGGGGTGCAAGGAAAGGTGGGTGCTGTGGCAGCTGGAGGCCACAGTGTGGCCCGACAAAGCCTGAGGCCTGGAAGTGCCTACTCCAGGGAGGGTCTCAGAGCCTCCCCACGTGTGGAGGCCTGCCAGTGACTCCTGTGTCTCCCTCCCAGATGCTGGGACAGGCGATCCCATGGCAGAAGACAGGGGCTACGGAAATGACTTCCTCATCGAAGACATGATCCCCACCCTCAAGGCCGCCATCCGAGCCGTCAGGTAATGACCACCCCCATCCCCTTTGTGCCTCCCTGGCCCASCTCAGCTCCCCAGGACATGGCTCGTAAGGTGCCCATGGGCTTTGGGCAGGGGCAAGAAGCTTCCAGTCACTTCTGGCCAACAACCAAGGGTATTAAAACTCTGAGGGGTCCCTGCCTCAGGAACAATGGCTCTCCTTGGCCAGTGGTCTGTGACTCCTGCACACCTTGCTAAAAACGTGTCCTCACTGCCCTCCTGACAGTTCTTCCAACTGCCACACTGTTCTATGGGTTTAACCAGCGTTTATTCAAAAGGGTGTCAGAACAGAGGGTATACTGACAGGGGGTTTTCTTCCTTTATCAGCATTTGACGAAGAATGGCTTTTCTTCTTCCCATATTCATTAACATTGAAACAAGATAATAAATTGGAGACCTTTGGATTCTGTGTTAGAGGAGATTTTTGGATTCTGTGTTAGAGGATTCTATAATCAACCCTGGTGATTTCTGGTTTGCTTTAGAATTCTTCAAAAAAATCAACAAGAACGCAAGCTTCATAAGGGTGAATCCTGGGAACTCATTTGATTGTCCAAGAACTAGTCATGATATTTTCAGCAAGATTCCTGGTCCTATAGATCAGGGAAGCACAAGGGTGTTAAAAATGGAATTCAGCAAAGCCTTGGTCTCATTTCTCATGGCACCATCATGGACAGAATGAAAAGGCTGGATGAGAACACAGCACCTGGATTCATAACCAGACGAAGGATCTTATTCAGAGAAAACTAGTTAATGACTRTGTTGACCTAAAGGGAGGGCTCTGCAGGATTGCTTCATGTTCTGGACTCTGCCCTCTAATTTTTAGCATTTTCCCCGATGCCTTAGTTCAAGGGTTGGCAAACTTCTTCTGTAAGGTGCCAGAYAGTAAGTGTTTTAGGCTTCGAGGTCCCTAGGTCTCTGTTGCGAGTGTTCAGCTCTGCCACCATAGTACAGAAGCAGTGGTCGTGCTGAGTTCCAGGATAGCTTTACTTTCAAAAGCAGGCAGGGGGCAGGTTTATCCTGTGAGCCTTAGAATTCTGACTCTCACCTTAAGTGAAACTAGGAAAAGKTCAGGCTTATAAAATGGCAATAATTTGGGAAAGAGGGCAAGTAATTGGGATGCTATAATCAACAGGTAGAAATAAATGGTGGTTTCATGCTGGAGCCGTGGGTCACGACAAACAGAAAGGACTTCCAATGCACCATGTCAAAGATCTGTGCAAACACAAGTTGAGAGGGAATGGGAGGAGCTGTGCCTTCTGACACCGACTGTTAGAGTGTACACTGACACTGCTCAGCAGGAGTTACCCTCAAGAGGAGACTCTCAAGGACCTCAGCAGCCCATCATGCCTGACCTTACTGCTTCCCAGGAAGATGGAGTGAGGGTTTGACTTCATCTACTGTTCTAGGTTCTCTATGTAACAAGGAGACTTAGAAAATTCAGAGACCAGAAATTAACTTTTTCTAGGTGCCCAGAGCAAAAGAATTAAAGAGTCTATTGAGGAGAAGATACACCAGCTGTCCTCAAATAGAAAGCATTGTGACAATGACTAAGAGCATGGGCCTCATAAGTGCACAGGATCAACTCTGTGCTCATGAGCTAGATAGCCCTGGGGAGGTGCAGAAGCTCTCTGAGCCATAGTCAAATCATCCTAAACTGATGTATTAGCAGATTGTTCATAAGTGTGATGCTCAGCATCTGGCATGTAATGAAAGCTCAGTACATCTCAGCTCTGTCCTTTTGTCTATTATTCAAATGATCAAAGTGAGGTAATCCTGCAGGAAAGATGCCAGCAGGCCTAATTACGCGTGGTTCAAAGGGATAGAACTGCAACAAAAGGCCAGAGAGTGTCCCTAGGTGGTTTTCTCTGCTCTYTCTCCCCTGCCCTGACTTTGCTAGCCTCCTGTTACAGTTCCCTTCACCCCCAGCATGATGCACAAATGCCCCTTCTTTGCCTTGTAGAATTCTGCAATTCCGTCTCTATAAAAAAAAGTTCAAGGAGACGTTGAGGCCTTATGACGTGAAGGATGTGATTGAGCAGTATTCCGCAGGCCACCTCGACATGCTTTCCAGGATAAAATACCTTCAGACCAGGTAAGAGAGTCCCCCCTAATGGACTGGTGGGACTACATTCTCCCTGCCACTCAGGAATAAAAGTCAGGTGAAACCTTAGAGCTTACCGTGAAAGGCATTCAGAAGTAATGGAAAACGCAGGGGAGAAAATTTAAGGACAAAAACTCTCATCAAGTATTGTGGATGTCAAAGCCAACAAGTACCAGACCAAATGGGCTGTGAAGATACTGTGTGTCATTGCCACTGCCCAGCCGAGGTCAGCACCCAATCATGGCTGATGGAGAGGAGGCGGCATATATTCCACTGGCTCTCCCTGTGTTGCTTTGCATGCTGCAAAAAATAAATACAAAACCCCATTAAGTCCAGCTGGCTAATTCTATATATGTATTTTTTGACCATATTAAAAACTTTAAGTGTTATTTATAATAGTGAAAATATGCAAATGGCATCAGTGTCCCACTATTAATTGCARCCATCTTAATTCAGCACCTGGATACTGTGCATATGTGCCCAGTCCCTTAGAATCTTCAAGGTGTTTATTGCATAACAGGTGCCATATTTCTGATGTGGAAATGAAAGCTGAAAGAGCCAAAGATTTACCCAAATTACCCAGTGAGTATGGTGGCCTGTAGGTATCACATATGCTATCATCACAAGATCTATCTAAGATCTGCCTAGATCTTGTGATGATCTTAACTGATATACTGTGTATGAATGACATGATCACAAACACAGACACACAGACACACAGACACACACACACACACACACACACACGCACGCACACACACTGAGAAATACACATGACATGCACACACTCTCCCTTGTAGGGGACCTATAGAGAAATTGAGACAACTCAGATGAATGTGAGTCCTTTCTGGGCTTGTCCAAATAATGTCTCCCCACTAGAGGCTCCTGGGGAGTTAACAGAGACACCACTCTGCAGGGGTTGGAAGTGAATGATGCCATCAAGTTGAAGGTAAGCTTACTTTGCCTCACACAGTTTCAGGCAGTCAGAGCTCAGTGCCTATTGAACAAACGGAAGTGTGAGCAAGTTCTGAGTGTGATATTCTATTCTTTATGCAAGTGTGGCTCTTAGAGACCAAGGAAGGGAGCATGATGGCTAAGACAGACCCAACTCCACAAATATCAGCCAATTTTAATAAGCACAGACTGGATGGTGACAGTGTCATAGTTTTTAATATTCATCAGGAAAGTGTACTCCTAGGAGTTGTGGCCAGAGCTTGAACACCTGGATGACCACCTGTGTTTCCCCAGCCATGCTGATACTGCAGGGGGCTAGATGGACAGAAAAGCTGATTTAGTATGAAATATGGCCTGTCCACAGAGATGTGCTGGGTTTCCAGTGGGGAGACAGAGATGGGTACTTCCAGATGCATGGTCTTAATGGTCCTGCTTCCACCCCAACTCTGCAGCATGAAGGGATACATTTCTCTCTCATTCATCCCAGCTCACAGAGAAAGCTGGTGTCTCACAGAAGTAGAAGTGGGGTGCAGAGCCAGGATTGGTCCCATCCTGGTCATAGCCAGAGATGTCTGCTGATCAACAGGCATCTACACACTGAAAGATGGAGTCTAGGACTCCTCTGTAAAACTCCCTAATTAAATGGTTTGGGGAGGGATAAAAGAGCTGGGAGATACACAGGCTTGCCACACACATATGCCATTTCCTGTAACAAATAACAAGATGCAGTCCTCACCCTGTCTCAGTGGTTTGTCTGCCTCCCTCCCTCTCCCTGGGGACRGGAAAATGCTCTCAGTGCCATCAGACAGAAAAGGGTGGTAATGTACTATGTGCTAAGTTCTTTTTCTTTCTGTTTCTCTTCTCCTCTGTCTCTTTTTCCTTCTTTTACATATTCCAAACCCACAAGTCATTCTGACTTGCTTTCCTTCCAAAACAAAGCTTTGTGTAATTTAATATCTCCCCCTTTATTTTTTGCCTCTTTCAGAATAGACATGATTTTCACCCCTGGACCTCCATCCACGCCGAAACATAAGAAGTCTCAGAAAGGGACAACTTTCACCTATCCATCCCAGCAATCTCCCAGGTGAGACTTGTGTGCACTGACTGGTGGACCCTGTGGCCCAAGCCTGTGGAGCATCCCCTCCCCCAATCCTTCAGCTGGGTCCTTCCCACCTCTCTTCCCAGAMCATGTAGATGATGCTTCTTTTCATGGTTTGGGGAGAAAAAAAAATAACCACCTTGTTATGAAGCAAGAGGAGACACATAAGTTTGTTGAAGCAGGAAGGAAGAACACTTCCTGTTAGGAGCCCAGTTCCTTTTCCTGCATCTTCCACCCTGGACTGGTGTCTCTCCCAGGACAAAGGCAGAGAAGGCAATTGCACATCAGGCCCCTGACACACTGCAATTGGAGAGCGGTCCTCGCTATGAAATATTTGAGAGTTTGAACAAGGAAGTGTCCTGTAGAAGGCCCACAGCTTGTCTTTCATCTATTTATTCTCAAATGTGTTTGAGTCAAGTAAGGAGTCCCCCTTAGGGACATCATGCACCTTCCTTTTATAAGGAGAGGTCAGGGTGGTGATCAAAGGCAGCTGCTCCTCAGCCACAGCCTGGGGGATGGAGTGAGGGGACCATAGACCCAGAAAGTATGCCCTGTCTACAGGAGGTGACTGTCACTCTATTCTGTTGCTACTGATCCTAAAAATGACAGCCCTCTGCTGCCAATTTTTTTTTAAAAGAAAGACTGATATCCAGATTTTTTTTTTAGTAATTCCCCATTTTTTATGTATTTTCAAATCTGGGCAGTACAAAGAAAACACTGGGGGCCAGATGCAGCACATGGTCACTGATTTATGACATCTGCTTTAATTCACAGTTGCTCAGCTAAAGAGAGTCCAGAGATTTAAAGGGAAAAAGCTTAGGAGAGAGAAAAAACAAGAAGGGACTTCACATGAGCAGTTCTGAGCAATAGTGAGACTCCTCTCATCCATATAAAGTATAAAAATATTGAAGCTAAGAGCAAACACACCACGCATCTTAATCCCATTTCTACCAGCATCCTTTGTTTTGCAAAATTTTCCAGAAGCAGTTTTTGCTTCAATTCTCAGTAAAATGGGCCACATGCAATATATGTAGACCCACTGTATAGAATTTCAGAGATCAGATAACCCCTCCCCACCTTCACACACACACATMGCTCTCTCCAGTCAGAGGCTGAAAGGCAAGGGATGAAACATCAGCACTACCAGGTGCTTTAGTAACTTCAATACAAAGTGCCTTCAAGTTTTTCTGCAGTAAGGTAAGCATGAAACCATCAGTGGGGAAGCCTGGAAAACACCAGCTTCTCTCATGAGTCTGGAGACTTGAGCTCTCCAGCCTTGGTAAGCAGAAGAATGAGAATGCTGATCTCCGGGGCCATGGCCTCCCTAGCAGGAATGACCTTGCGAAGCAAAACTGTATATAATGATCTTAAAGAATCATTGGCCTTTTCCTAGGAATGAACCATATGTAGCCAGAGCATCCACATCGGAAATGGAAGACCAAAGTATGATGGGGAAGTTTGTCAAAGTCGAAAGACAGGTAGGTCTTTCCCTCAGCAGAAAGCCAACTGACTTCCAAATGCCACTTTTCATAGGGGCACATGATACTTGAGCAATATTGACCACCACTCAGAAAAGGAGGTGGAGCCTAGTCCCTGGGTTGGCCTTTATTGTCTGGCTGACCACATACAAGGTAATCTATTGTTCTGAGCCTCAGTTTCCCCATTGTAATCCTCATGTAGTGGTTGGGAGGATTGAGTGAGCTGACACAGGCGAACTGCCTGGATATAGCTCACCGCCACCCCATGCACTCCACKGTGGTCCCTCAGAGATGTGCCCTGTCCCATGTCTCACCGCCTCTCGCCTCCTTTTTTCTAAGTCCCTCTCAGGGCTTGGCCTGTGGAGTGGCCAGGGCAGGCTGTAGGTGTGAAAAGAGAAACCTGCCCACCCCCAGCACTCACGTAGCGTACCTCTTAGCGTCCACAGCCAAACAGCTCATATTCTAGCATCATTTGCCTAATTTTGCACTGAAGGTTTCCTSTACACACATATCCATCCTTTTATTTTGTTCATAATCCACATTGGATCTATGCAGAAGAAATGAGAGAAAATTTGAATAATTATTCTGTATTTTGACCCATCAAGAACGCTGTTTCTTCCAGAGGCAGAGGCAGGAGGATTGCAAGTTTGAGGCCAGCCTTGGCAACTTACTGAAACCCTGTCTCAAATTTTAAAAAAAATAATAAAAAGGGCTGGGGATGTAGCTCAGTGGTAGAATGTACCTGGGTTCCATCCCCAGGACCACACACACATTGTTTTTTTTTAATATTTATTTTTTAGTTGTAATTGGACACAATGCCTTTATTTTATTTATTTATTTTTATGTGGTGCTGAGGATTAAACCCCGGGTCTCGCATGTACTTCCTGAGTGCTCTACCACTGAGCCACAACCCCAGCCCCACATTGTTTCTTATTTTAAAACTTTAATGTGTATTCTCAGTTCTTTCATTTACCAGGTCTATGACCTTTGACAAGTTACTTCATTTCCCTGTACCTCTGTAAAATTAAATGAGTCACAGAGTGTGTGAAATAGAGTCATACACCAGCTGTTCTGTGGGTCAGATGTCATGAAGGCTTGGATGTCGTTTTAAACCTCTGTTTACACTGTGCTAAATATCCCCAGATGATATTGTTCACATGCCAACTGCAGYATCTCCCAGGGAATTGAGAATATCACATACATGTGCATGTGGCTTGTGTATACACCCTCCCAAAAATTCAAATACATTTCCCATTTAGGCAGACAGAAGCAGAGGTGGCTTCCACTGTATCCCTAAGGCTCTGGGTGGGTCTCCAGCTCCACAAAGTCCTGCTAACACTGCCCCTGCACTTCCAGGGTTCACATCAGCCTGTGGTGAAACATACTCCAAGAATCYACAGGATTCTGGGTAAACACTGTTTGCAAACCATGAACTCCCACTCCTTGCTTGGAGTAGCAACAAAGAGCAAGGCCACCTCTTCCACTGGGGGACCATGAAGGCCTATAACACTTTCCTCAAAACATCTCTCTGCTTCCAGCCTCTGCCTCCCAGAAAGGCCCTGCCTAGGCTAWTTACAGATTAACTCTCATGCAGAGCTTGCTAGGAGGCACAAAATAAATGATTAGTTGCTGTCATTATTAAGACTTGCATGAATTCTCTTCCCTTCTGGAAAGTTTATACATGCTRTGCCCCCTCCCAACCAATAACCATGATGCCCACCCCAGAGGGAGCAGTCATGCCCAGTCCCTTGTATTTTCCAGGTTCATGACATGGGGAAGAAGCTGGATTTCCTTGTGGACATGCATATGCAGCATATGGAGCGGCTGCAGGTGCATGTCACCGAGTACTACCCGACCAAGGGGACCTCCTCGCCAGCTGAAGGGGAGAAGAAAGAGGACAACAGGTATTCTGATTTGAAAACCATCATCTGCAACTATTCTGAGACAGGTGCCCCTGATCCCCCCAACACCTTCCACCAGGTGCCCATCGACAAAGTCGGCCCCTATAGGTTTTTTGCATATGACCCGGTGAATCCGCCCCGAGGGGAACCCAGTTCCGCAAAGGTTCAGGCCACTCTGCCTTCCTCGGCGTCCACCTATGCAGAGAGGCCCACCGTCCTGCCGATCTTGACTCTTCTCGACTCCCGAGTGAGTTACCACTCCCAGGCTGAACTGCACGGCCCCTACTCGGACCACATCTCGCCCCGGCAGAGGCGTAGCATCACGCGGGACAGCGACACACCTCTGTCCCTGATGTCTGTCAATCATGAAGAGCTGGAGCGGTCTCCGAGTGGCTTCAGCATCTCCCAGGACAGAGATGATTATATGTTTGGCCCCACTGCGGGGTCGAGCTGGATGAGGGAGAAGCGGTACCTCGCCGAGGGTGAGACGGACACCGACACGGACCCCTTCACGCCCAGCGGCTCCATGCCTCTGTCGTCCACAGGGGACGGGATTTCGGATTCAATATGGACCCCTTCCAACAAGCCCTCTTAAAAGGGGTCACTGGCTGACTCCTCCTTGTAATGTAGACAGACTCTGTATAGTTCACTTACTCTCACATCCAGCGCTTACCAGCGGGGACACCAATGGCTGCATCAAGTGCATGCGCGTGCGTGGTGGCCCCCCGCGAGCAGGGGCTTCTCACGACCTTCTTCCTCCCACGTCGCCACAACGAAGCTGCTTCCTTTCAGCATGGTTTGCATGACTTGACACTATATAAATGGTACCGCTAATCTCTTCTAGGACACACATTTATCTGCTCTTCTTCCTTTTAATCATGACTGGACCAGTACCGGGAGAAATTATTGATAAGCCGTGCTGTTTGTTGGTTTGGTTGGCTGGTTTGGGTTTTGTTTTGGTAAGCAGAGAATAGAATTTCCTTTTTTTCTTTTCTTTTTCTTTTTTTTTTTTTTTTTTTAAGGATCACTGCCCCTTCGTGTAAAATACTCTGGTAATTAACAGTTTTCTAAAGCAAGAAAATAATTTTCTCCACGAAAACACATGGCATGCCAAGAGGCTTCCTACTGAGCAGACACAAAGAAAGATAGTCATCCAATCTCCCAAACCAAGAATTTTAGAAAGGATTTTGTTAAGGGAAAGTCCACAAAATCATTTCAAAGCTGTCAAAGGGACCTCCTTTGGTCTGCCTCTTTCCTCATCTGTAAAAAGGTGTTGGTGACCCCAAGTGTAGAATTTCACATGTGTTACAAATCAGAGGGGAGAAATTACACCACACACACACACACACACACAGCACATACACACCCGACAGACACAAGCACACAAACTAAAGTAGTTCCCAAATTATGTAGGCAAAGATAATGAAATTTGCCAGAAGTGAAGAGCCCCTCTAGGCAGGAGCTAAGTTCAGTATCTTCAAAATAAGGTTCCAATTCACATTCTTCTCCATATCCAAAGCAGAAATTACAATCAAGAGGGGATGCAGTAATTATATTTTCTAAATTATTCTTTTTAGAAATGAGAAATATTAGGCTCAGGTATAATGACATGGCTGGGGTCACTCTGTTGTCCCATGGAGAACCAGGACTCAAAGCCCCATCTGCTGACTCCCTCCCTACCCTGGACTCTTCCCTCCTCTCTCTCATTAGGACCCAGAAATCATGCCAAGACACCAGTACTCTGTGTCATGTGGGAAGCAATTGCCATAGTTTATCCAGGGGAAGAGGCTGTCTGCTTTTATTGCAAAATAGGCTTACTCAATACATTGCATTTGGGATTCAGAAAAAAAATTATACAAACAAGCTTGATCTATTATTAAGTAAGTAGGCAAAATCTCCAGAATCATCCAATTTTACTCCTACAGACTTTTTCAGTGAAAATACTAGAACTGCACATAGCCATAACTCACTGAGGGTAAGCGTATGGCCTGAAGAGCACTATTGTAAAAGCATTAATATTCAGCACAAGTCACCTGTGGCCTCTTCAGAGATGTTACAACTCTCTCAAAGACTGATAGAAAAAGGCTTCTGTTAGGCGTGGGCTACACTAGCTAAAGGGCCACACCATAGTATCTATTGTCTTACTCCGCTCACCCATCTAAGCACTGGTTGTGTGGGTAGTTGCCATGGGGACCATCAAGATGATGGAAATGACCTAAACCAATGTCTACATGCAACTTCTACCAATGTTCTCCTCCTTGATAGGAGCCATAGTTGCTATGGCAGACGTTTGGTTGATGGTTACATGAAGACCTCATCCAGGTACTCTGCCCTGAGTTGGAAAGAAATTGCTTAGAGGTTGGTTCCTTTCAACACATATGCCAAATGGGTCATGTACAAAAGGCTAAAAATATAGCAGTGCTTAAAGCTTGGCTCCTGACTTTAAGCACTTAAAACCAAAGCCTGAACAAAGGCAGACATTGTGAATGGTAGAAGGGAGTTGTACATGGAGGGTCCCATGAATGGATGGGTATTGACCTTGAAATTGAGGCAGGAAAAACACAAGAATGATCACACGCATCAGACATGAAGCCCTCCCCTGTGGCTTTCCATTGGGCTTCATGGCATTCTGGGAGGCAAAGGGTATGGACCATTTCATCCCTTCTTCCACTCCCTTCAACATGGCTTCAGTAATGCCACCGGGGCCAAAACCCAAGAAACTTTATGCTCCTTCCTAAGGGTTTAGCTCTTCATTCTCATCCTCCCGGAATCTTTTGCCAGAACTGACTGTGCTGCCTACCATCTAACAAGTAACTCTGCTCGTCTTTATGTATTTGAGTTATTGAAAGAAAAAAAAAGATGGAGAATTAATCAAATTCTCCACATATGCATAAATTATTTTTCTAATATGTCAATATTCCTGCAGAATCTATTACCATCAATATATTATAAGCAGATATGTTTTTCAAGAATTTGATAGAGTTCTTGGTCAAAAGAGTGAAATCTTTTTAGCTCTAAGTGGGAAATATTTATCATGGACTCAAAGTTAGAAAGGGTATGCAGAAATTGTCTTTTCTAAGTTAAAGTTAGAGAAACTTTCTTATTGTTCTTTTAGTACCCTACTGAGAAGTGGAACCTGTATCATTACCCAAACCAAGGGTGGGCAGTCTAGCTTCTGCATGGGCTCCTAAGTCCAAGAACTGAATTTTTGTTGATTGCAATAAGTCACCAACATGTAGTAAGTTTTCTTATTAGCTATCAGTGTGGACACAGAAAAATATGCATTTCATGAATTAATAAGAATATTAAAACTGTTTTTCCCACCTAAGAAAACAAAAAAAGAAGAAGAAAATTGATCTTCAATAATTCTGGTTTGATATTCCTTTTTGTCCCCCAAAAAATACATTCTAGGAAAGCAAACCAAACCTGTTCAAGTTGTGTGCCCACAGACAACATTACAACAGAGCTGGTATTGAGGAAGCAGGAGTTTAAGGACCAAGATGGAATATTTAAGTGATGGGGAGAAACAGTGTGTGCTTCCACAAAGGTCCTTCTGTTGGACAAAAGAATTACCCACAAGAATTGGCTAATAATATGCCCCAAGATTATAATAYGCACCAATGGGTTTCCAATTTTCCAGGATCACAGGGGTTTGGGCCAAATCCCTTGAAATAGTGACAAATYAATTACATCATAAAACTAGGAATGATCTTCTCAAGTAAAACCATGATCTCATTTTATTTGTTTGTCCTCTGTGTGTTATAATATGATGTATAGAAAAGGTAAGAGGTGAGACTAAGTGTGTAAAGCACTTGCCCAGCAGGTGATATCCCAGGCTTAATCTTCAGAACAACAACAAAAAGAGTAAATTCAGTAAGTACAAGAAAGCAAATAATTTGGAACCAGGGATTAAGTTCACTGATAGCACACATACGCACTGTTCACAAGGTCCTTGGTTCAATCCCCTGTACCACACACCCACGCATGCACACAAATTTTTAAAGAGGTCAAATTTTAGGAAGATCAAAATGAATGAAATAAATTAACTTTAGACAAAATGAGATTCTACTGGGGTGAGAAAAAACACTTGAGATGAAGCATGAGTTTGACTATAAAACACTAGCACACAAGCAAGTACCAAAAGCTTGTTTTTAAAGTGGGAGACAAAGAGAGAACCACTAAATTGAGAAAAATCTTTTCAATGACTGTATTCATTCTTAGAACTGAGACTTCAGAGTTATTAGATATGACACTGATATTATTAAGCTCTAGTTTTCATTAAAAACAAACCACTACCACCACCACCACCACCACTACAACAACAACAACAACAACAACAACAAAAACAGGAAAACCCCAAACTGTAGAGGTCAACACAAACTAATTAGTGAACTGTTACACATCTATGTCTATCTGATTCAGGCACTTTGTACTTTGAGTTGAAAGAGTAATTAGSTATAGAAAACCCAACATAACAGAATCCACTCATTATTTGCCAAAACTATTTTTATAATTCTATGCTACTGTAATGAGAGTGTAATAAAGAAAAATTCATTTGTTTATTCATTTGACAAAAATTTATTAAGCATCACTCTGTGCCAGGAACTGTGCAATCAAAATTCAGAGATTAGAAAGCCACAGTTTTTGCCATGAGAAAGTTAGGAATCTGGGGGCCTCGAATGTCAGAAGTCCCTTCAATCTGTTTACGAAGAATGGAAAATATCTGATTTCATTGCTGCAGACAACTCTGTGGCATGAAGAATGCTTCCCAGCTTGGAAACGGTTGAAAGTTCAACCAGGAAGAAAGTGAGAGCACAAACCTTGCATAAGATTGCGTGAGCCGTCACACCAGCGAAGCCTGAGTGGGCTGAATGGGAGTTTGGATTTGTGTTTGGGACTTTATGGCTCCAGATAAGCTGTACAAGAAGGTAGCATCTGAAGAAGCCAGCTTCTCCCTCCTCTCTAAATCCCTGCCTAGATGGAGGCCAGACAAGAAGCTGAGCTACTTGGTTTTTACCATCTAACCAAGAGAGGCCATGGTCATGGCCCCATCCATTTGAAAAGAATGGGGCCACTTAGTCTATGGGAACCAGCAGGTCAAAGTCTTTAGGAGCAAGAGAAGAAATTTGTCCAGGTCTTTGGAAATCACCTACACTTCCAACAGTGCTGCTGATACACCTCTGATTCCCCAACCCTGTGCTTCTCCAGTAGATGCATGTAGCTGCCCTTTGGTCTCCATGAATAGTTTTTCAAGGCACCTAGGATTACAAAGATTTTCTTTGCTTTCCGAAACTTCTTAGGAAAGGAGTTAGGAAACTCCTTCTGAAAATTCTTAGGAATTTGCCTTTACTTGTTCTTGAAAATTCACTCATTTCAGAATGAACTTTTAAAAAGAGTATCTTTTCTTCACATCCAAATTAACCCAAAATTCTTGTGTTACTGATATTATACCATTTAACACTAATTGCCCTCTAAACAAGGTAGCAGGTAGCACTTCATAGACACTCAGGTTATAACAGGTTAGAAGATAGGCAGTCTGCATAGTTTTCAAGGTTTTGAGAACTAGTAATAGTAATTCAAAGAGATAAGAAGGATATAGAGCTGACCTGGATGAAAGTTTGTGTTTTAGAACATTCAAAAGTATTTGACATCAACTATTATTTGTCTTATCTTGTCAATTGCAAATAAGGCAATCAGTCTATATGAAAAACCCCTAGTACAGTGACAGACCCATGTGTGGAACTGTTATTCAGGTTCCTTTTAACAGTACATGTAGATTATTTGCCTAACTCTTTGATGTTACTTATGACTTCTAATCTTACACCAGAAAATTTTTTCAGGAAAAA